TTTTTCCTGCTGTTTTTCGCCTCTGGAACAGTGTTAATCGGTTAACCTATATGGTTAATCGATTAACTAACACAAACTTTCAAATTTTCAAGCATTTTTCAATGGTTAATCGATTAACCCCTGACGTTAATCGATTAACACTGTAACAATGGGCCTGTTTTGCTGTTTTTCATGATTGTTTTGGTATCGTTTCACTTTGAATATTCATGGATCGTTATGATGCATTAGGAGTAAAATATTTTGGATATATGTCGCTGGTCTTGAGTGTTTAATCATGATCGACACGTGCCCGTCGGTTTCTGTTCAGGTGCACACTTATGTGTTGTCGTTCAAAATGATGCATTCTTGTTTTCTTTGTTTCCTTTGATGTTGTGCTTGGGCACACTTTTCCCATATTCCCTGTTGTCCTATGACCTTGGAGTGTCATTTAAGGTGGTTTGGTCCCTCCTTAGGAGGAACCTAAAGCTTGCCTAAAGTGATGAATCCTCAAGGACTTTCCTTCGTGTCGTGGCTATTTTCTGTTACCCAATGTTGGTGATGCTTATGGTCGAGCGCATAATATGAGTACCTTGTTATCCTCATATAGCCTCCCATCCTCACTTTGGCTCAGGTTTATTGTTGGCATTTTTTTACTTCAGTTTGTGACTTTGTGGTTGATGTCCAAACGGTTTAGGCCATTTCATCCCACATTCTGTTACGCTTATACTTTGTTTCAATGTATCTCTTTGCATTTTCATGTGCACGCTTGAGGTCGAGATGTGCTTGTGGAGGCTACTTCCCCATACTATTTTCCTCCCTCACTTTCATTCTATTTGTGCATTCTATGTTTGCATCCTTGCATTCGCATATTTTCCTTCCTCTTTTCCTTCTTTGGCCATGTTCCCTTAGGATCTCTAATCTCCTTGTTTAAGGATGATTATGATAGACTTTAGGATCTAAACCATGCATGATAACATTAGGTAGATATTTCCCTTTTGTAATCCCAAATTTAGGAGCATATTGCATGATAACATTTAGGTTGAGTAATTTCCCCTTAGAGTTTGTGTCTTCTCTTCTCATCTCGAAACTTCTTAAAACACTTAATAAAGAATGACAAGTGTTGTACGCTACGAGCCTTAAGCTACTTGGGGAATGGTGATTGAGTGGTTACCTCTCAATTACCTAGAGTGTTTAGTGTACATCCTTAGGATGCTATGCGACGCATTCGTTCCCAAGTCACAAGTCTTTAGTGCAACACGAGTTACCAACGAAAAGCTAAAAACACTTCTTCTCTAAAAGACTTCAAACAAACTTCAAACCTTTTTTGTCCCTTTGGGACCCTTAATTCAGGAAAACCTTTTCATAAACAAGAGTGTTGTTAACTCTTAGTTCTACCGCAAACAGTAACGCCTAAGTCTCCAATGGTCGAGCTGCATACACCAAACTGCTAGAACTGTCTGTTAACCTCACTCGGTTAAAACACTTGAACCAACCTGTGGTCGTGTCAGCCCGAACTACGTTTTCTCCGATTTCTCGTACCAGACGAGGATACGTAGGCATAAGACGCGATGTCTTAGCGAGCAACCTCCCCCCCTTTAGCCATAGTTAGCCGAACTACGTTGACTCTGACTTTCCCATTGCACAAGGGAATACGTAGGCCCAGAGCAGCGACGCCCTGTCGAGTCCCTTTTTCTCTTTATTTTCCCTTTGTCCATAAGCCATTAGCGTAGATAGTTTACACACCCTTTTAGATAGACAACACATGCGTGGATCCCGTCGAGTACGACGGACGTGAGCGGTGCTCATACCTTCCCCTTGCGTAACCGACTCCCGAACTCAGGACTTGGTTGCGATGACCTCGTCTTTTCCCGTTCTCGTTAGGTTTTTCCCGGTCGTTTCCTTTCCCTCCTTTGGGATAAATAACGATAGGTGGCGACTCTGTTAGTCATGACCGGCCTCCCTTTTTTTTGCGGTAGCGACAGTAACTAAAGGACGCTAAGTTTGTTGTGCGAACTTGTAGCAAAGTAGTTCGCAAGGCGATGAATAGTTTGCTAGGCGAACTCAGATATTTCCTCTGGGGCGATTTAACTATTAAAAGCCACTTCCGGTGCCATAAAGTGGAGTTTGTTGGGCGAAGAATGAGTTCAGTGTGCGAACTTGGCAGGTTCCAGTTGTACTATATAAGTACTTTTCACACTTTTTGGGGATCATAACCCCATTTTTCACATATAGACTTATATTTATAGCATTTCTTTACCAAAAAGGGAGATTTTGCAAATAAAAGTTGGATTCATATCTGAGTTCGATTCTTCGACGTGGATGCTCATTCATGTTCTCTCTTTACTTATAAAGCAAGCTACCATGGTTATGGATAACTAATTTCTTTTGTATCAAAGGTAGAGGTAGTCTACATTAGCTTTATGTATTTCTTTTGATTGGCCTTGTATGTGAACAAGTGATGATTAATATATGATGAATATTTTTGTTCTTAATGATCCATTCTTGTTTTGTAAAACTCTAGACATAGATTTTGTGGAACTTGACCTAAAATATTCATCTATCGATTTATAGATTGGAGAGATCAGTTTATGGTTGATATTCGCTTTGTATTAAACTTAAAGCTTACTATATTGGTTGTTATATGGAGAGATCGTGTAGAGATGAATACAGTATTTCTCACGAGACCGCTCTAGAGATAGACGGTGTTGAGAGAATATACGATGATATTAATCAGATCCGACTTCACATGCAAGATTGAAAGAATATGTATAAGTTAGGTTATATGAAAACTACTTTTGATATATCTTGTTAATCAAACACTTTAGAATTTATCAGCTATGCTACTAAACATCGTGACAATTTATGAACAAAAACTTAAAACCCTTTTTCTTGAAACTGCAAACTATTAAAAAGCAAGCATCAAAGATATCGGACAATCCATGTGGAGACAATAACAAACCCCCATATAACTACGATTCAAACAGTTGCGCTTAACGAGTAATTCGTCGCTCAATGAGCAATGTCTCGCTTAGCAAGATATGTAGAGTGAGGAATTTTCTGGTTTCTTTAATGTGCGCCTAGCGAAGGCTCGCTCAGCGAGCTGTAGGTCACTCAACGAGAGTGACAATACATAGTTGAGTTATTTTCGAGTTAATTTTATAGCAAGGTGTTATTTTGACGATTAATTGGTATTGTCATGTATTATTTGAGTATTTGAAATTATCTCTAATTCTATATATTTATAAATGGGTTTTTAAGGGTATTACATGAGGAGGCAAAGTTGCGAGTGGGTACCCGACAAAACTCGGAATGGGTGGTCGGGTAAGGAGAGTCAGTAGGTAATATTGATCCTTGAAATATTTCTAGTTGTTATCATAAACATGAAGATTTTATTTGCATAGAGCAAATAAATCAACCCTTGACAATGACCTCTCGTTCGTGTCTAGGAAACCATAAAAATATGGAAAAAGAGGTTCATTGAAGCAGAACCTTCTTGCCTTTTATACAAATACAAACTTTTGGAACATATTGACGATAGCCTAAGCAATTGGGTGAAGTTGAGAAAAGACAATCTGTAAATGTTTGAGCACTCATTTCTTAAATTTGGTGAGAGGAAATCTCAACTTCAACATCTGGAACAAACACTCATAAATGGTGATGGAACACCCCATAAATAAGCTGCAGATTCTTCTGTCATCATCAACGGGAGAAACAGATGAGTCGAATGACAGACCTGCATCCACAAATCCACCTTTAATGCTAGCGGCAGTACCGAATGTGTAAGCTAGTTCCTTGAGTTCTAAATCTCAACTTCAACATCTGGAACAAACACTAATAAATGGTGATGGAACACCCCACAAATAAGCTGCAGATTCTTCTGTCATCATCAACGGGAGAAACAAATGAGTCGAATGACAGACCTGCATCCACGAAGCCACCTTTAATGCTAGCGGCAATATCGAAGGTGTAAGTTAGTTCCTTGAGTTCTAAATCTACCCACTCATATTAAGTGGCATCTGATGCATCCACCTGGTCCTCTCACCGCACCCATAATTGCTTGACTTCCATGAAAAAACAAATTGATATTAGGATTGATAGAAGGGTTGTAAAGCAATTACCATATCATACCTTAGAAATACGACGACACTCAAATATATTCAAACACCTTATGTGAAGCACTACACGTTGACATGCTAGCATAAGGGCACATGTTTAAAATTCACATGTAGCGTCTCAATATAATAAAGGCATTTAATGTGTCTATTCTCCAGTCTCATCAATTAGACAGGCCAAGTCTTGCCCACAGACAACTTGATAACATTAGGCCGATACAAAATTTGGAAGACTTCATGTTCTATACTTCACAACAAGGTTTGAGAACAATTGTTCTAAGCCAATCAAAGACCCAATAAAGAAAGACCCATTTATTACTCCTAAAAGACCTAACAACTACTAAATTCAAGGATATAACACTTCTACATGCATAAGACCAAAGATGCACACATACTTTCCATATTCCATTCTACTATTTTTTGAACTCATTAACTAACTTTAACATTAAAGTGTTAATCTTGCAAAATATACACCACAACACACTATTGAAGACTTAAAACACCACACCAGAAATTTAATGTCATAATTCTCGTTCTTATCTTGAACAATATTTTATAAATTAAGAAGTATTAATGATTTTTAAAATATTAAATAAATTTATAAATTACGAAATGTTATTGATTTTTAAAATATTAAATAAATAAGATTTCATAAAAAAAAATTATTTCCGGCTTAATAACCATTGATTATCCTTTAGGAAAATTGCAAAACTAAAAGTGGTGCATTGATAAGTAACAAATACACACAAGATACAACCATAATACTAATATACAACATTGATTCATTATGAGAGCGATATTACACCGATTTTTTCTAGTGCAATGGAAAAAGTACCAGAGTTACGGATGGTAGATTACAAGGCAGAAAATAATATAAAAGGAAAGCAATTAATAACAGACCATAAGTTATTATGAATCAAAGTACTCCTCAGTCCTTCCCTTGAAACCAATTTGACCGAAAGTGAGGGAGATGAACAGCCCCAAGTGCCAACAGATCAACCATAACCTGTTCAACAAGTTTGCCTTATTATGTCTTAAAACGAAAAAAATATTCAAATTCAAATACAAAAAATAATATTATTATAGAATATATATACGCAAGGTGATAGGTTGTTAGCATCATTGGTCCCATGGTCTAGCGGTTAGGACATTAGACTCTGAATCTAGTAACCCGAGTTCAATTCTCGGTGGGACCTATAATTTTGAAAAATATTGTAATATTTTTAATCCTTATCATTAAAGATCTTGCTTGCTATTCAACTATTTAATGTTAAATAAGAGTTCATTTGAGCCAAACTAAAAATCTACATTAATTATAAAACACATTAAATATTTTTAGTAATGAGAGCATTTTTGTTGTAAAATGAAAAATATAAATATAAACTGCTTTAAACATTAATTTTACTTTCAGAAAATTGTTTTAATTATATAAACAAGTTGTATTATAAAAAACACTATTATTAAAAAGTTAATTTAAATAGTTTATGTCTTCAATTTTGTAAAAGACGGCATTTTTTCATGTCAAACCTTAGAAAGTCCATGGAATATAACTTTTAATATTTATTAACAAACTAAACTTAAAAAGTCTTATGATCTATAAAAAAAAGATGAAATGAAATATGATGTGATTCTTTTTTATTAGGCTAATGACAGACTTATAGTGCTGGCATATATGAACTTAAAGAGAGTTGAACTCATCTTTTTGTATGACTGTGAAGTTAACTTTAATAATTTTTTTCTATTAAAATTAAAATTCTAACATAAAATAATTAAATATTATTTTGGTAATATTAATGTATAAATATTTAACCTATACATATTAAAATATAATATATGAGATATACTTTATGTATTTTTTTAAATAACATGTTTTTCAACAAAATTTTCTAAATAATTATATTCTCAAAGCACCAATGTTTCTAACCAAAAAAAATTAGTACAACGCAAAACACATATTAATTGAATTGGCGAACGCACTGAACAAATAAGAAGCTATTAATTGAATTGACAATTGAATCATGCCCAGTCAATCCAATTGACATTATGTACAAGCAATAGTGTGTTGGATATTTTTTATTTTATTTTAATTCAATTAATTAATAAAAAATTAAATGATATTTAATTTAAATTGAACTATACAGTATATAAGAATATTTTTTTCATTAGCAGTAACAACCCACTTAATGATATATATCACCAGTTTCACACCCTCTAGATTAATGTTAAGCTTATACTCGTTTTATAAGAAAGATGAAGACCTTATCCTTTCAACTAGTGAATATACTAAAATATTAGAATATATATATATATATATATATATATATATATATATATATATATATATATATATATATATATATATATATATATATATATATATATATATATATATATATATATATATATATATATATATATATATATATATATATATATATTATTGAGTATCCTTATTGAGAGTATGGCGGTCAATGAAAAAATCAACTTAACCAATTTAATATGAGAAGAACATTATAATCACCAAATTCTCTAATAAGTTTTTGAAATTTTATAAAACCTTGTGTCTGCATTGACTAATTTTCAAAAATGAGTTCAGTGTCCATATCGTTGTAGCTGGGTTGTATTGTTTAGGTTGATAGAATTATAGTGAACAACTTAGTTGATTGAATGACTGACATGGTGGTTTTTTCAAAAGTTTATCGTGTGTTGAATTCATTAAATTGGTTTTTCATTAATCACGTTACTATCGATAGGAAGATCCAATAACATGTACATATTCTCTAGCATTACAATAGATTCATTGATTGGAAGGAAGAAAATGTGTGGTTTAGGTCTCCATTTTCTTGTAGAGTGGGTATAAACTTAATATCAATCTATAAAGTGGTGAATTGATAACATGTATGATCAAATAGATTGTCGTAATTAGTGCAACAAAATTTTTTGTATGTAATTTGATTTAAATTAAATATTATTAATTTTTATTCAACTTTTTATCAATTAATTAGATTAAAATAAAAAAATATTCAACACACATAGTCGCGAATTCAATTGGCTGGCGATCTATTACTTGTACATAGGGATCAATTGAATTGATTTATATGATATAATCATCAATTCAATTGATTAGGTCTCTTATTTATTTAGTGCAATCGTTAATTTAACTGACATCTACTTTGCATTGCAAATTTTTTAATTTGAAACATAAATAATTTAAAAATTAATATAAACATGATTATTTGAAAAAATTTGTTAAAAAATATAGTTATTCTGGAAAAAAAATTAATTTAAAACGTGTGAAAATAACATAAATAATAATATAAGTTTTAGTTAGCAGATCAAACAAGCTAGATACACGTGTTGCATAGTGACTAACACTAATGTGTAACCAGCTATTTAAGATCGGACTTATGTAACCCTTTAAAATTCGGGTCCTTGGGATGATTTATCGTTTTTGGTTTTCTTAAACTCAACTACTGTGTTAACAATTTTGAGTTCGTTTGTTTTGATTTTTTTTAAAAATAATTTTTATAGGATAATATAATTTTATGTAAAAAAAATTTATAAATAAATTTTTTATAAAAGTTTTAAATAAAAATTTTAGTTTGAATAATTATTTTTAAAATATTTATTTTAGATATTTTATTATTTTATTATAATTTTTTTTAATATCAAAAATTTGAAAAATCATTTAAATAAATTTTTATAAAAATTATTTTGATATACAACATTTTGAAAAAATTGTAATTTCAAATATCTTTTAATGATGTATGTTTATAATACAAGATGTCAAAATTAAGCTTTCAATTTAAAAAAAAAATAAATATAAAAGAATTTATAATATTTTATTAAACAGTTTTGTAAAATCTATTTTTAAAAATATAAAAATGAAAAATCCATTTTTTAAATCTGAGACAAACAGACCCTGCTTAGAACTTTAGAAGACCCAAGATCTCTAACCAAATCCTTCTACTTCATTGCTTCACTTCTCATCTATGATATCACTTTCATTTAAGATTATGATTGCATATAGATGAGAATCAAGTGAACTTAAATATAAAAAAATGTCTAAAAGAAATGACTAACCAAAACTGTGAAGTAAGAGCAGGAGGAGTAGGGAAGTGAGCTAGTTCAGTTCCAATGCTGTCAAAGAAAAGTCCAGTCAGACTTTTACCGTCAATAGCCGGAATACTAGACGGTGCCAACCATCCTATCAACCCAAACCCAATCACATTGAAGTCCCTCCGTAGCCAATCCCTCTGGAAGCTTCACATCCCAATTCACAAAATCATCAAAATAAATATTCATAGAGATCAAATAATTCAATTAAAAAACCTTACAAATTAATCTTATAATAAAAATTACCATGTCACCCTTCCACCATTTCCTACAGCCATAGCTTGCCTCAAAGGATTCCTAGCAGTTACTTGTGGTTTCCTAAATCCTTTAAGAAAATCACAATTAAAATAAATACAAACATATCAATAAAAATGCTACATGCTTAACTATATACCTGAGGTGAGACGTGATGCACCACCCATTCCTACCACGGTTGTAAAGGTTGTTGTTGCCATTCTAGTATGTGATTTTGGAGTTGGCAATGCTTAAGAGATTTGAATCAGATATGTGAGGGATCTAGTGGTGACGGTGGTTTTTGTGTTCCAATTATTATTATTATTGGCTTCTACGGAAAAAATTGAATACTTCTGAATAGATTAGGTTTGGATTGCATTTTTGTGGATGTGCTGGTTACTCAATCACATCGTGCCACATTGGAGACTTTGGGATAAAGTGGGGTCATCATTAATCCTTTGGTTGGTTACTCCATCGAGCAAGGATTACAAATATACTCGTAGGAATCAAAATTCTTTTATATTATTTTAACAAAAGATTTGTGAACAATAATGCAAAAATTATAAAAGTGGGGTTGACCGAGGAGAATTGTGAGATAGATAATTTAGGGTGAGAATTATAAATTTTATTAGTTTGAGACGAGAATGCATCGCATACATTTATATAAAGGTTATAATTATAATTGAGAAACAAAACAATCAATTAAAATAACATAAAAGTATAAAAATTGAGCTCGTAACCGATTACATTTGACATTGAAATTAAATCCATTTTAGTGGTAATCGGTTAACGCCACAGATTAATCAGTTATAGCAACGAAAACTTCACTTCTCTGCTACTTGGATGAGTTATTGACCTTGTTGTAACCGATTACACGCTTGTGTTAACCGGTTACAACACTTGAATTAGTTGAAAAACATTCAACACACCACTTTAATTCAAGTGTTCCAAGTCTTCCATTCTCATATTCATCTTCCACCTCTTAAATACATCATTTGTGACTCCCTAAGTCGACAAATCAGCACTTGGTCTTCACTTCTATAATATCTCAATCATAACCTTCCTTTACTAACAAGTTCCCTCAAGTAATGAAACCTCATCTTAGTATGCTTGCTCCTCCCATGTGCAATTAGGTTCTTAGCAAGATTAATCACGAAAACGTTGTGAACTAGGAGCGTAACAACCTCACTCTCATTGTTGTCTAGCTCCTCCAATAGATTCGTAAGTCACGTGGCTTGGCATGCACATATCGAAGCGATAATGTACTCGGCCTCACAAGATGAGAGTGCAATTACCAGTTCCTTCTTCGAACACCATGAGATTGGTGGCACATCAAACATAAAGATGTATCCAACTATACACTTTCGATCATCTTTATCTATGCACCAATTAGAATCGATAAAATCGAGCAAATTGCATTTTTTCCGGTATCCGCTGCAAGAAAGAGAATTCCGCAGCCAGCAGAACCTTTGACGTATCTTAGAATCCTCTTAATTGCTGCCAAGTGAGACACCTTCGGTCTCCCAATGAATCTAATCACAATACCAACACTAAACGACAGGTCTGGTCACGTATTGCACAAATAATTCAAGGATCCAATCAACCTCCTATATTGAGTTGGATCAACATCTTGCTCATCCTCATTCTTAGACAACTACAACTTTGATTCAGCTGGAGTAATGGCAGCATTGCAATGCTCCATTTCAAACTTATTCAATATCTTAAGAGCATATCTTCTTTGGTGCGTGAGCAATTCCGTTTTGGACTTGTGGAACTCAATGCCAAGGAAGTATACCATGAGGTCAAAGTCGCTCATCTCAAATTCTTTCATAAGTTCACTCTTGAACTTTGAAATACGTTTTCTGTTGTTTCCTGTGATCAACAAGTCGTTTACATGTAGACAAAGGATAATTACTCATTCACTCGTATCCATCTTCACTTACACTCCATGCTCGGATATTCATTTCTTGAAGCCAACATCCTTTAGGAAACCATATATCCTTTTATTACAAGCTCTTGGATCTTGCTTCAAACCATATAATGCTTTCTTCAACTTTTAAAACTTCTGCTCTTGGTTTCTCACAACAAAATCAGGGGGTTGTCCTACATATACCTCCTCTTCAAGCGCTTCGTTCAAAAACGCGGATTTGACGTCCATTTGGTAGATAGGTCAATTATGGTTATTTGAAATACCAACAACAATCCTAATGGTTTCAATCCTAACAACTGGTGTGAATACCTCTTCAAAGTCTATGTATTCTCTTTGTAAAAATCCTTTTGCCACCAACCGGGTCTTATGCTTGATTATCTCACCGTTGCAATTTGCTTTCTCTTTGAACACCCACTTCACACCAATTGGCTTCTTTCTTTTTGGATTTGGCCATAAGTGCAAAATGGACAAAATTACCATCATCATTGACTTCGTTGTCTTAGAAAAGCTCACAATCTTGGAGTCATTGAGGAAAACCCCTTTGCCTTGTTGAACTTCTAACGTTTTCCTCATTTTGGGCTTCGATAATGGGCTATTATGCACTCCCCCTTTTGTTTAGAACTTGAAATTTCAAAGTTGTAACCGGTTACAACATTCTGGTAACCAGTTAACTCTTGCATGTAACCAGTTAACGTCTGTTGGTAATCGGTTATGTCACAGTCGGTTTTTATGGTGTGACCACTACCGCTCCTGGTGCTACTTTCTGATTTCTATATTTATCATATGAAGCTTAAAAGGAAGGGGAAGATATCTTAAACTAACCCTACGCGCAAGTGTTTTCCCTACAAATGCGGAGAGTGTCTATACAAAGGGAAACTATTAACACCCATAATATCTATAATAATCTATAGGAACCTTCATTTACATCTATTTTTTTACTGTTTGAATTGCTTTCTTGAGTCTATTTTCTTTCAGGTGGGGAAACTTTCTCCTTTGGGAGGTTGAGGAAATGGTTTTGTTGTTTTAGGATTTTCTATTTTTTTTGGAAAGGTACTTTGACCTAAGGTTTTTGATTAGTGCGCTCGCTAAGATTTCATAATCTTATGAATACGTATTCTCACAAAAGAAAAATGAGAAATCAGAGCGTTCATAGTTCGGAAAAAATGTGTTTGGTGTCTTATTCAAAGCCCAAGATTGAAGCTAAAAGTGTTTGTGTCTTGTTCAAAGCCCAAGATTGAAGCTAAAAGAGTATTTGTGTCTTGTTCAAAGCCCAAGATTGAAGCTAAAAGAGTATTTGTGAGAGAATTTGTCATCTCTAAAGGGAGATATCTCACCTATTCATCACAATTATTGAGGTTTTGATCATAAGGGAAGTTTCTTTAACTGGGATATGTGGAATCCAGTAATGCCACATCTTCCTTTATAAGAGAATTGAAATGTCATGAAGGGAGAAGCTTTAACTCAGTGTAGAGCAATGCCACTTGTTCCTTTATGAATCTTTGTATGCTAAAAGAGGGACATTGACTTGGATGTGTTCTAGAGGCTTGCCGCTTATGTAACACTCTTACAAACCCCACGAAAAATATATGAATAACCAGAGTAAATAATCATGCATTCACAAAAGGGCGTCACATATAACTTTCAAACATCAAAAACCACCTGTTATGCTCATTAACACTTCAATAAATAATCATGCTTTTCAAAGTTTCACTTTGCATGTAGCAACATATTCAATTATATCACAATCTTCGTAAAAGAAACATTTGAATTCACCACCTAAATCAGCATCATTAGGCACTGGGCCCAACATCATAATAACTCGATAAATATAAAAACATAGTATAGAGTATATAATGTATCTCTAAAATATATAAACCAAGCGATCTCAGTGTTACATGACCAGAGCATGACTCGACCCAACGACTAGATACATATACAATATATCACAAAATAATACTATACATCCTAGCTAACCGACCAAAAGATGAAGGCACGCTTCACAAAAAAGACCTCCAACCAACCTACTCTGCAATGCCTCATAGGGCACCATAAAACAGCAGAAGGGTGAGAAATATTATCATAATAATCAATGCATATATATATATATATATATATATATATATATATATATATATATATATATATATATATATATATATATATATATATATATATATATATATATATATATATATATATATATATATATATATATATATATATATATATATATATATATATATATATATATATATATATATATACACACACACACACACACACACACACACACACAAGCATAGAATACACATATTCTACATTTTCACCCAATTCATCATACACATCACAATGTATATATAAACAAATATGGATAATCACCAAGCATATTTCAGCATGCATACATCCTAAATTCTCAATTCAAAAATTCATACACATATGCACACTTTCATATAACAATTATACCTATGCCATGTGACTCAATGCAGCTCAATGCAACTCATGCCATGTGGTACCAACATTTGTTATCATTTTTCGGTTTTTACACTTAAACCGGGTCCGCTCCCTAGACCGATAACAACAAAAGCCCATTCCCTAAGCTTTCAAACCCCGCTCTAGGTTTGGGACAAGTCACTAGTCTCCACGAAACTAGCAAGTATTGCCTCTTGACCAAATGATGCGTATGCAATCAATAATCATATGCACTTAAGACCGTTCTCACATCTTAATCTCATGCATACTCAAATAATTCATCACACAAGAATTATAACATGATTGCACACACAACACATTTCATAATAATCAAAGTATTCATACTTTCAAAATCATCACTACCTTCATCAAGTAGTACACAAGAATCAAATAGATTCAATCACAAATACATATTCATGAATGCTTCACATACAATCGCATACAATTGATATGCATTCACACTATCGCGCCAAACGGCAACGAACTCCATCACAATCATCATACACTTTTAATCAATTTAAACAATGCATATATTTTCCAAAAGGCCACGTTTCACAATCGATTCTATAATCTAGGATGCACGCCATACAGCTACCCACAACATAACATATCACAGCATACAACCATGCAAATCAGAAATACTGATCATACTCGAGCCGAACAATCAATGTTGGATGGAAACGCAACGAGAAATAAGAATGTTGTCACGTTCTCTACACCACTTGCCTAGCGAGTCCTTGGAGAACACTCGCTACGGGTTCGCCTAGCGAACAAGCTCGCAAAGGGAGTCTGGGAGCTACTGGAAGTGCTGGCTACCTGCTC